AGAAACAGCGCCTGTACGTGCACCTAATATCCCCTTAAAATCCCTCGTGACACGAGGCAGAGTACTTGGCACGACTAGACCCAACGAAGAAGGATGCGTTTGCTCTGGAGGGTCGATTATGTATAAGGAAAAACGAAACCCGAATTCTCACACTGCAAATTTGTTAACAATTGTTTTTTTAATTGCTCCATCAGCGATTTCGGCAATGGCTCAAATCAAGCTTACGAAGCTATGGATTATGAAGTTTATACCGAGTAGTGTTTGATAAGCAAACAGTTTGTGTCCTTTACAGATTTATTGACTTGATTTATTTTAGATTAATTGTTAGGACCTCTCGACCAACCCTACAGACCATGTCGGCTGATCAGCCCATGTTAATGGTTTTGTGATGTAGCAAATGTCTGACATGTAGGCGACCAACAAGTATCTAACGCTTCACTGGCGTCAATGCTTCATCAGTGCGGAAGTTAAAGAGACGACCTAAGTTACATAACCTTGCCACGATGGGCCATCTATGTCATCGAGTTGATTTTTCCACACTGATTAGCCTTGATCCGAACTACATTTCGTCAACGACTGTACGTTGGATGATCAACCTTTCAATCTGAAGGTCGGTAAGACTTCAAGAATAGTTTAGCTAGGACTCGGTCATATTTCCTTAATTTAGTATGACACCGTGGTTGATAAATATAGTACTTACTTAAGCGTATCAGCCCTCACGGAGAAGCATCGACTGTTCGTCAAAATTCCTCAATGAAATCTTTTCTGAGTGATCCTTTCTAGTTGTTTTAAATTGTAGTATTATATTTGAAAGTTTTGTATATAAAATTTCTTCCACGAGCACACTTGTGATACAATCTCCCTAATTTTTAAGATGCACATTTTGTTGATCTTTTAATTCCATTTGAAATGGCAAAATCTGCATTTTATCGTGGTTTTTGTTTTTCTTAAGTCTTTACTGAATTTTCATTTTTCCTGAGATTCATTTGTGTTATTTCAGTTGATATTTGATTATAGCAACAACCACATTGATGCCTTTCGTTTTTGTTTGTGTTGCTCGATTTGACAGGAGTTGCTCATTATTTGATCGTGAATTGAAGCATTCTAAAAATTGGAAGCACTCCGTATCATCATAAAAGTGAGTATTACCTATCGAACGATTTGCATCTAGTCTAATCAAAACATAGAGTAGCATTCCTGTGTCATTAATAACACATATTTGTCGCACTAGGTAATACTCTTATATCCGATATCAATTTATCTTACACACTACTCGTCTAAGCCTATCACTCCTTGTGGAGGACCATAGGCCTCAAATCACCAGGATACTACATAGAACCCTGTCCATAGCGATCCTTCTCAGCTGTCTCCAGCTACTGTTGATAATGACTTCGCGCGCTGATGCCATGTTTTGGTTTGGCCTCCCTTTTCTTCATTTCGACGTACTTCTGCGGCAGGCATCAGAGCCCCTTGAAGTATGCAGTGACCGGGCATACGTAACATATAACTCAAACACTTAGTTGTTGGAGGTCGAATACATCATCAATCGATTTTCAATCCTTACTTAGCACTCCGTAGTCCCAAAACAAACGATCAGTGCTTCGAAAACATCTGTGATCAAATAATAGTAATCTACGAATATCCTCTACTCTTCACTTGAATTTGTTGGTGTATAAGATTGAGGAGCTAGGTCGTCCGCAAAGTCACGTTCATCTAGGCACATCCGTATAATTATGGCCTACTTCGGTGTTAGTGCTACTACAATAATTGTAGATATGTTATGATTTGACCATGTAATTTATAAGATCTTACGTAGAATTGGCATTGTCTATCATGATAATCGGCGATATTGTATCTAGCACTTTTGACGAACACATCTGAGCTGAAGAGGGAATAATACATTTGATGCAATAAGCGGGAGATTACGTGACCGTGCCTGTACGACCAAGTCATGCCATTTCGATTATTTTTTGCTGCGTACTACATTACGTATTTTAGTGTACAAAGTTAATGTTCGACCACTTCTAGAATACTCCACGTTTATTCTCAGCAGTGCGCGGATTAAGGATAAACTGAGGCTGGAATTCTTTACATCCAATCAAGTGACTCAATATGCACAAACTTCTCATTATGACATCCGTAATTCCTTGGCACCAGTGAAACAAACTTATTCTAAATCATCTCTCTATATGAATTACTTCACCTGTAAATTTTCCAGACTCTAGAATAACCCACCACAATCTATCTGTACGATAAAATCACTCCCATTATTTGTTCGCTGCATCAATACATACTGCTCTTCTGAAAATGCATTGAATGTTGTAGCACCTGTAAGTGCATCTCATCCCACAATAGATATTATAGGAACTTTAACTGTTTAGCCAGTTTTATTAGTGCATTCCCTAAGTAAAACCACCTACTTGCTATCACTTCATGTTAACACCGTCCCTAGCAACTTTAACTAATTTGAATAACGTCAACAGTATATCACTGTGTCACATGCATTTTGGTAGACCTGATTGAGATATTTTGGTAATTACTGCATTGTTGCTCCGTGCTCTTCTTTCGCTTCAATTTCTCTAGTTGTAGATAATTAGCAATCATTCGATCTGGCACAGGAAATGACCCTAATTACACCGTTCATAAATGAACAGGCTGTCCATTTAAGAAAAATTAAAAGTTCCTGGCTGATGCATTGGATCGCTGTAATACATGTACTACCTAAACAATTACTGAACCAGTATACTTAAAACTTTCTTCTATCACACGTTTGTTCTGTACATCTAATGTTATTATTCATATCAAATTGATCATGCCTGTAAACTGGCGTGAATTCTGTAATTATCATTTTCAGAATATATATATTACTGATTTTTCCACCGTGTTAGATGTTTAATGTGAATTTTCTCAGCCGTCTTGTGTTCATCTCCGAGTATTGTGTGGTTAGAACCAATACCACTACACTACACCTACCTGAAGTCTATCGCAAGCTTGGAAAGGGTACACTCTTACATCAGGTAAGGAAAGTCAAATACAGAAACTGCTGAAAAGAAAATATCCAAAATCTGAAAAACACTTCGTACGACCAATTGGGGATTATTTACAGATAACATATCGGAAAACGCTGTTAACATTATCACTTGTTAACTTAAATTCTGTTTTGATATTTTTTACCTGATTGGAACCATTTTTGTAAGTTTAGATCAACTTATGTCTTTCTAACTGAAGCGAATATGAAGGGTAGAAAGTGAGCATACAAGGAGAAAAACTCCATTGAGGTTCGCAAGCTAAGTAGTCTGGCAAACCTAGATATTAGGCGTCTGAACTCAGTGTTTACTCAGGAACTTCTATCTCGCAAAAACGTTACTAGTATGTGGAAACTCTCTAAAGAGCTAACAGGTGAGAGACACATTAAGAGCGATAACCAGATAAATGTGACTTAAACAAATCTTTTGTACGTCAGTCATTTGATCTCATGATCCACAGGCTCTAAGAATAGTTGTGTTCCAATTTTCTATGGATATGAGGTTAAAATATGTTGCGTTTTGCTCTTAAGGTTCACTGTAGTCTAAGATGTTACGATTCTGGAAAGACAACGATCGAACTACTTTAATACGAGTGGTTCTTTTCGGACCGTCCCAACATATGGAAGGCAGATATGCATGCAATTAACTCCGCAGCATCGGCTGAAAACTGGGAAATTGACTCAAAGGCATCAGTACAAGAGGCATGGACTCTATTCAAGCAGTTATACATCGGGAATCTCAACCACACTTACCCTGGACTGTCCCAAAGAAAAAGAAGCACGGACATCCTTCAAGTACTGATAAATTGAAAGATAAATCAATCGGCGGCAGCGAATGATCGGGAAATGCATGTATCAATTTCAAGACGTTTGGTTTAATTCTGAACACGCTCAAAATGAAAATCCACGTGGATATCATTTAAGAGTTAAACAGAGTGGGGTAATAATGAGAAGTGATTTGTGTACAGATATTTTTACAAGTCACCTTAAAACGCATAGTAACAACAGTTGATTAATAGCTTAACTTGTGGGCAATACAAGTATTTTGTGCTTAATAATATAAAAAGTTAATATTGTATAAACGTTGATACTGGTATTACCTTTGATTTAAATTAGAAAGTCAGTTGACGTCTATGCTGGTATGCTGTCCGTATGAGTAGGCCAACTGAAGGAATAATAGTAAAATCCGAAACCCAGGTAGCTTTGTGTATGCATTTATAAAAGAATATAGTACCGCCTGTACCTTTTTGTTGAATGTACATAAACTTGCAGATCCCTCAACATTCTTTTTCCTTTCTCCTAGTCAGTCCATGTCGTCCCATGATATCTTCATACCCGGTGTTGTCTCGTATCAGAATGGTCAGGTCCTCTTCCAGGAACTTTTCTACGATCAATGAAGCACTAGATGGACATAGTCGTTTTACTAGAATTTCATTCTCAGTTTAAGGCAGATTTCTACCACCTTGAGCTTGAAGCTAATTGTGAAAACTAGAAAGTGTATCATAATTTCTCACGGATTGCAAGCCAAGCTTACTCAGTACCTCTTAATTAATGTAACCAACTCGAACTTTTCGGGATAAGCAATTAGATATTGCTCAAGCTTTCATCTGAGATTCCACGTATTTATTCTACCATTTGAACGACCACGAAGTTGAATATGTAGCTATTTTCCCAATTGATATATTACACGTGGAAGTGATGTACTGCAATTCTAATAAAACTTTGAAACGAATAACAAGATAAATATCATTTCTTGCAAACACCACAATTTATACACAAATACAATCTGCTACAGATTACAAGATTTAGCGACCAAAACGTTTATACTTAGTCATACTTACGTATAAACCTGAATATTTCTGTCGGTCGTCTTCGCTAGTTTTATACACTGGTTCCTACATAACTTATAAATATTTAAACTGCTAGACCAATTTGTCTGTGCGAGGTGCCGAATCAAATTTTAAATCGCGCTGTCTATAAAACCAGGGTCAAATTTTTATTTAATAGCCAAAAGTAGTAGGATATACAAAGTAATGCTTTAAAAGGTACATGTATTCCATAAAGTACATAAGTGGTGAAGCAATAGTTGGAACAAGTACTTTGATAAATTAATTGTCACAGGAAAGTCACACATACATTACTGATTCTTTTACTTCGGCTCATTTCCATTAGTCACAGACGCAGCAGATGAACCACTGTAAACTTGAGACAAACGTTTGATTTCATCAGGATCTATTTTCCGAAAAAGAGGGACTGGCTACAAAACAAGAAGAAAATTAACTTCTTTCAGTGCAATTTATCCTAGTAATTTGGAAATTCAAAATAAATAATCAAATGCATCAAAAATACTTCATGTAATGGTAAAATGAGATGAATATCAGTTGTCTTAGAAGTGCAGTCAGCCAAGATAGATAGGCGTCTGATGATTGACAAAATCTTGGCTTCCGCCAACTTGCTATAGCTGAAAAATGTTGCTACGACGTAAAATCTGTTAAAACGGTATATAATTACCTAATATTTATCTTATAAATTTGAGGTATTGTAACACTCTACACCTTTCAATCCTTCTTCGAAATTGCATATTTCTCTTTTTCTCATTCGGTTCAATCCTACTGCTACAGCTTTCCTATTCCTCTGGCTGATGGGTATTTGTGGTTGATCATATCCTACTTATGTCTGTTTACAACTCTGAAAATATAAAGTATGCAAATATGACTAACCTTTCCAATACGATGACCATCAGGTAACAACCTCTTCACTGTAAATTCATTTTTAATAATCTGCACGAAACTCATTTGGGATTCCGGAAGATCACACTGCTCAATCCAGATCTGTTTTCCAATTGTAGGCATGTAAGGATAAATCATAGCACCAAGAAGACAAGCAACATTCGCAGCAACGCTTATCACAACACCAGAACGCTGTCTGAAATGTTTTTATGTGTGACATAATTTGAAAGTAATCCAAAAGCATGTATACAGAAAGTAAATGTTGATTATAATTAGAAAGATTTTATTAAAGCCTTTAAATAACTATCTCACACAATATTATATTTGAGAATTTATTACAGTTTATATAACAAATACTAACTACTCAAATATTAACGGTATGTATGCGAAAAACTGTCCAAGACTAAAAAATTTCAGGATGTAATAAAAATATTATGTGATTTTCTGTTTTGATTAAACATATGATAAAATTTGCAAATTTCATCTAATAATTTATTGTTATATTAGTCGATCTTAAGATTAAAAAACCCAATAGTTAAAAACCGAGTGTCTACACACCATCAATTGACATATCCAATTGAAATAGCATAGCAAAACCAACAGAATATAGCAATATTGGGCGATGGATAATGCAAAAACGCTTACCAATAATCAAATGACCGGGAGTTTCCTTAAGGTTGGAATTTTTGATGATAATATGCACAATAAATACTTTATGACTATAAAAACAGGAAACTCACTGACATAATCTAATTTTTTTAATATAACGTACTACCGCATATGTTAAAAGAAGACATACAAGCAATAGACACTATTCCCTGTTCTGTTAGTGACAACATTATGAGTGATCTCCCTAGGTATATCGCTGAATTAAACAAGTGGTGATGAGTTTACTGACAAATATAAATGTCACTAGAGTAGTATTCAATAAAAATATACAGATATTATATCATAGATTCGCTTGCACTTAATGTAATGAATAAACATACCATTTTACAATTAATAATTTTAACGTAAGTTCCAGGTTAACAATCATATAAACAAGTTTAAGGTAACAAAGAGATGAGATTTTGGAAATGTACAAAAAATCGTTGGTCATACAAGTGGCTTTGACTAATGTTGAAATAACGCTTTGAATGACAAAACCATAGTGGAACACGTTAAGTAGGCTGACACACGTATGTGTATGATAGGAATTTCCTTGTGGAAAGTTTCAGAACACCAGAGAAAATCTTTGTTAATGTTAATATCATAACTGGTCAACATGTTAATACCAAGGTAAATATAAAGCATTCAATTCAGTAAAGACCTAAACATCTTAGATTTCAAATTGTTTAATTATTGGAAAAGCTAATACCTCTCAAATAAATAAATAAAAATTACACAAGGGAAGGTAATATCAAAATAATTTAGTTTAATAAAAGATAGGAACGAACTTTGTTTCCGGTTTTTTAACAGCGACCCACGGTTGATTAGCTTGAAAGTAACCATTACCAAGACGAGCAATCGTCAATACATTTCGAATAGCATCTCGAAGATGACATAACTCCATATTGCGCATATAAGTAGCGAAGAGTTTATTAATTCTGGCCAAAAATTCCGTATCAACCGGTTCTAATTTTGTTATTGATGGAATAATCGAATTGAAAAATCGTGACACAAAAGAAAGAGATCTGGCAAGATCAGAATTAGAGGAGAAAAAACATGTCGACTTAACTAATCAGTAGTAAGTCATAGGAAACATTGATTTTAACTCAAAGTGATTTTATTGACCATGTGAGAATTCATATTGATCAAACTAATGAAACTATGAAATAATCATACTCTCCGGTTATCCGGAGTAAAGTACATCGATATGGTATTAGTACGAATTTGGAATTTCTCACTATTGGTATTTATAACTATAATTGATTAGTCACTATCATCATATGTAGATCATGAGTAGGTTGTCTCTAAACAGCATTATAACAAATTACAATATATTTAGTATATAGTCAGGAGTGGAATCTAGTTGACATATCGCCGATAAAACAAAACGCACTTCGTGGATTCGACTTCTAGGCAAATCAAAGCCATATAAAATTGTCCGTAAAGGTTGGAATACTTTTGTTGTTGGTGTTAAGGACTGGAATTGATTAATCTCTTATGACATATAAGCATCTTGAGAGCGTCCTGGATTCCACCGCTGGGCACTACTTATTTCTACTTAAATAGTATTTTTAATTCTGTCAGCACAATATGAATATCAATCATTTCCTGTCGTCAATATAAGCAACGGAGAACTGAAAAACCCTTACTAATGCTTTTATAATCGTTGAACAAGTTAATAGCTATCTGGACTCAATAGCACAGAGGAAACGGCGTTGGGTTTTTAGATGAAGGGTACTGGGTTCGACTCATTGTGTTAGCCACTACAATTATGATACAACTGAACCCGGTTAACGAGTTTAGAGTAGGATGAAACATGCGTCCTGAATCCGACTTCTAACTACATACTAAATATGCCAAGATAAATCGACTTGGTATATATGTATAGGTAAATAACAGATAGTGATAGAAGTTTAATTATAAACTAATAAACAGACGGTTATAATTTAACAAATAAATTGTAATACTGAATACTAAGAAGTTTCCACATATTCTACGACGGACAAATCGAAATACAAATAAACTATTTCTGTTATCCAGTACTAAGAGGAATAAATTTTGATTCAGATAATGTACGTAGTACACCTGATAAAAACACCATTAAATTATAAACAATTGGTGTCAAGATTATATTTACGAATGTTTAGTGATCCTTGCTTTCGTAGATATATATATATATATATATATATATATATATATATATATATATATATATATATATATATATATATATATATATATATGTTCATGATAATCTTCCAGCTTCATGAAGCGCGTGGAATGTATAACCTAAATTTGTTGTAGAAAATAATAAATTACGATTAACATAAGGACACCAGTCAAGTAGTTACCACCTCCCGATAAACTTCAAACAATAAATTGATGGATTGATAATAAACTTACCGATTAACAAAATTACCTAAATTATTCAATAATTCTGAGTTATTTACCAACATGAAATCATCCCAGATAAAAGCACTATCCTGTAAAAAGATGAATTAGAAAATTAGAAAAACGATGATATCCAGAGACAAAAAGATGAAATATGTTAGAAAATTTTAGAGCCCTAAATTAATTATATTCATTGTATACAATTTAAAAATAAATATTAAATTGTTTTCAGAGGATATATATATATATATCGCCTATGGAGTAAACTGGTACCCATTTATTAATTTCGCAAGAACAAATACACTAACTATCATAGTTTTAAGTCCAGTACATAAATAATAAGCTGACAAACGATTCAATCACAAAACTGGATAGCTTTTTGAATATTGATTATTGCAAACAACAATTTCATCACAATACGAATTTTCTTCAAAATCTAGAGTATAGTGAAAATATACTTTGTTTTTATTATCCAACTACCAAATAAAATATGATGCCAATTCTTCACATAAACTAGATAAGATACTTCTGAAGAATAAAGTACATTAAAACTACAAAGTAAAATTAAGATAATTAACATTTGACAACTTTATTTGATTTATAATGTAATATGAATGCTGCCATCACTCCAGTTGAGGTTAATTATTTATATGATGCTATACAAAATCAAATTATTAATCTGTTAGAATTCCATGAGATTTGAATAATTCTAAATACATATTTTTTTTATTTTTAAGGAATTTCTTATTCATCTAAACTACTATTGTAAATCGTCATTATTTAATAAATAGCTCGTTATTATCAAAAAACTATCATAACAATTGTGATACATTAGACATGTTATTATCCCTAATTCCTTACTATGTTTATAGTAAATATATACTTTTATAATACTTGCAATAACAATTTTCAGTGAATCAGTACCGCTACAAAATGGTCGCTTCAAAACAAAAGCCAGAAACTTATCTACTTAAAGTTTTAAGTAAAAACGTCAGAATGTTCGGTAAATTAGGTAGCTAATACAGGTTAATCGGAATCATTGAACGTACGCTTATACTGAGATAAGGAGTATAATAAATAAATACAAAATTATTCTTTTATGGAAAAAAACATTTTAGTAATACGAGCGTTTGACAATAAGTGTTTGGGAACACAGTGACAATAATCTAATTTGTGGTATCATCTAAGAACAGTAACTTTAGTAGCTTGGATATGTTTTACGAATGTAATATCTCAGCATTTTCTATATTACACGTTATTTGTCGACGCTGGGACTATGTGGAGAATGAGTAGTGATTAGTTTATGACGACGCATTATAGTAAGAAAACTATATGCTATATGACTATTCGGTTACAGTTCTAGAGATTGAACAACTCAGTTAACGGCTAGAAACGTTATCAGATATGATTCAGAATACAAGCCAATCGCGATCATGGTGCAGTTTTCTATTCCCTTCTTCGTAAAATTGAGACTATCTCCCTTGACTGAAAAAAGTTTTTATTGGCTCTTTTTTAACTGAACTAGTTCTTTTTCCAAATAATATTCTGGTTTACCCATTCATAAATTGTACTGCTCTCCACTCATCTATTACTACTTCATTTATGTTGTGCATTTTTGGTATCCTATTGTACTGAAATTTATAAGTTATACATAAATTAATAAACAAACAACAAATAAGTAACGAAGGGGAAGTAAGTGTTTATTAATTTTTACTACGAACGTGACAATGAACAGGGTGCTAGTTTACTATTTTTTTATCCAAGTTACCCAGAACATCTATACGCTTGGTTTTGTCATATGAACAAGTGTGACAGGATCGAAATTCAGATATGTACCTATGTACTTGTCAACAGTGTGGTCATCTATACAGAATTTCATACTCTTGAGAACGACAGAAAAGTGTTACGACCATTATGCAATCAGTTACTAAAGTTGGGCAACTTTTTCATCAAGCACCAGCATTAACTAAAGAGAACCGTAAAAAAGCCAGGAAGCACTAGGTAGTTATTTCGCCCAGTTAATATTAGTGTTAAATCTTTATATCTGTCATCTTCATTTCTTTACTGATGGATTATTTTTGTACATTACATTATACTACTTGTTAAAATTCAGGAACTAAATTTCAACTTGGTTGCTCAGTTTTATGACTCACCGTTTACATGAACTTGTAACATTCTATTTATTTATCATCACATAATGAAAACACTCTTGAACCTTTGTTTAAGTATACAAGTTCCCAATTTTCGCATTCTTGGTTACTGTTTAGATTGTTGACAGCAATTGTTTATTTTGATATAGATACGAGCTTTTACTTAGATTACAGAAGTATTCGTCTTTATATTGCATATATTGACGTGTACAGACTCTACATACACGTCTAAAATTCAGAACCACATTATGGGTAAATTCTTTTATTTTGAATCTCGGAGATCCCTGCGTAACTTAGTTGTTTGTTCGTATCTTCCAATATATTTAATAATTGGACTTGGATAAAAACTTCTCAAGTCGGATTATTTTCACAAACCCGTTAATTCAACGAATAAAAATACATAAGATACAACTAACTTGTGATTCAGGTCTCCGATACAGTAAATAAAATCTCCAAATATCTGATATAACACCTGATTTCATTGCATCATCACCAAATACACCAATTCCACGACTTTTTGAAAATTTGGTATTTTCATAGTTCATATACTCTGAGAAAAACAACGGGGTGAACGAGGACAAAAGTGTGGACAATCGAATGTATTTGAACACAAAATTACAGAATACTTTAGTAAAATCAGAAAACCATACAGTAAATACTTCATTTGCAAAATGTCAATCAATTATCTCAAACTTGACTGTTCCTTTTGCAAATATCAGTCAACCGTCTCAGACTTCGTCGTTTTTTCGTTTCCACAGCAATCATTCTTTGTTCTCACTCTTTTTCTTAGATCTTCTTAACCTTCTGCCACCAGACATTTTGCTTTCGATTGATGATACATACTACTTATATCTGTCGACATCAGTAGCACACACTACAACAGTACAAGAAGTTATGATGAATTATTTGTCAATAAAACATTTATCATTAATGTAACCCAATTTAATTAGTTTTAATATAATTCATATTATCGAGGAATAAAGGTTTACGTAGTTGACTTCAAGTCTTACTGTTATATGAGAAAACTAGTAATCTTATCTCCTTTACTAAAGAAAAATGGATGAGGGATAACGTTTAAACTTGTAACCTAGCAATTGAAAATCAAATCATTTAACCACAAAGTCTGCCGCTGTACTCAAAGTATAGAGAATAAAATTTATCTGCCTATAAAATACAATAACAACATAATTTACGAATTGTTATCCATTTTCGGCAACACCGTTTAAAAGTATGATATTCACATATTGGCATAAATCTGAATAAAATCAAGTTGTGATTATCAGTTATGAAGTTCTGGGAAAGCTTCAGTGAATTTATGTAGACAACCGAAGAGTGACTCTATAATTTTGCTTTTAATACCTAGCTATTGAGATTTATACTACTTTAGGTATATTACACTTGAACAGATGCATTCATGCTATCGAATCTTAAAAATGTTCAATTTGGATATTTTACTATTTTAAACATTTTATTTTTCGATTATATGTACGCCTTGTGAACTAGTGATGTGTCAGTGAAAGTATGATGTGGTTGGTTAATGATCAAAGACATATATATCTAACTATACTAAATAAAAGAGATAATTTTAAATGTAACTTCGATTCAACCTATGTTGATTGATTGTATATTTATGTCAACAAATTATTGGCTGATCTAATCTGATTCTCAAATATTGACTTGAGTTACGTAGTTAAGTATCTAATCAACTTTTGAGTGCAATTATCTGGAGTATTGTCTAATATTGAAATCTCTTATTATTTCAACGTTTCAACCACTAGATTTTCCATGTTTAATCTATACTGTCACTAATGCAATCATTATTCCAATTATTTCACCTTTGATCTTACATATTAATTCCATTTTACGGTGTGGATATGTGAATTGTAGCAACTTGATCTTATGAAAATTTGTGCTAGATACTATGTTGTTTATGATTAATTGACTAACTAAATAAATAAACATCTATCTTTTAAATGATAAATAATTTCATTCCAAAGTTGTTCACAAATAACATTCAAAGCTTTCATTAAGTCAACCAGAATGATATCCTGCTTCGGTTTGGGCACTCAGGCAGTATCACAGCCCTCACACATATCAAATGAGATTTGTGTGGCGCATATGTATTTAGTGCCTCCTTGTACCAACATTTATGTGCTAAAATTAAAAAAAATAAACCAGAATGATATACAGATATTTTTCTTTCTTTTTGAGATAGACAGGAACAATCTTGATAAGATGAATACTAGAATACATCATCCAGAGAGAGAAAAAATAGTCAACAAACATAACTATCATATCACTAATACACCTTAGTCATCATAGGTGTAAATCAATTCAAAATTATGACAATTTTAGAACGACATCGGTTGTGTACTTAAAAACCATTAAAGTACTGAGTTTATCAGGACCAGATAAATATCAATCAAAAACAGTTGTTGTGTGTATATAATATATAATATATATGGTTGGATGATTAAAAATGGAACAATAATGAATTTTACCAGTAGAAAGTAGATGTTTTACGAGAGTATAACCAGCATCGGCTGCTAACAAACATGAAGGAAATACAATAGCATGAAATGGAACATTATCTTTTGCCATAAATTGGAATAATTCAATTTCATTGTCATCAGATGGTTGCCACCATTCCTTCCAGTGTTTTGTGTAATTTGCCGTAATCGAAATATAACCAATAGGTGCATCGAACCAAACATAAAACACCTTGAAAATAATGAAAGACTTATAAGTTCAGGATGAAATGAACAATTCATAAAACACATTTAGGAGTAAATTTCAAATTAAGATAAATAAAAGTGACCGGAAATGAGCAGAAATGTTTGTAAATTTAATAGAACATATCAATAGTGAAATGTAATGAAGAGTTGTAATAAATGGAATGATATGGTAAACAATGATAAATTAGACATTTCTTAATAATTAGTAACGCTAAGTCAGAATTGTTTTTTGTAAATGGCAAGCCTAAATAATTTATTTTCACCAGAATGTTTTGTTATTTGAAAAAGTTTAGAGTTGTTGCAAACATTATACAATATAATCTGTCTTCTGCTAATCATTACTACTGAGTAATTTATGTACCAAGTAAATGTATATGTATTCCGCTCTGAGGCATAATTTCCCATGTGAGGAAGAGCAATATTATACGACTTCATGAACTGAAGTACAACAAAATTCAAGCTTTCGACTAAATAGTTGTAAGTCAACTAACTTAACCACCAAGTAACCCACTGTTAGCGGGACATAGACTGGATTGAAGCATGCTCAATGCACGATTGCTTTGTGTACACTGATTGGCTAATTCTTATCCAATCGGCGTTAACCAATACATAGTGAACACTCTAGAAATCTCATGTGAAAAACTGTAAATATACTAGCGTTTTCCCTATTGCACTACATACTTGCTTCTTGCTACCATCTAACCTTGTTGTTTGGAATATAATCTCTTTCCTGTCCAACCGTGTTCTGATTTGTGGTCATGTCGAGTGATTTGGTGTCCAAGAATACTAAGCAATAGGAATAGCTGGGTCATCACCGTAAGAGAGAATATAACACCCTCTCTACTTCATCTTGATGGAAGGAAACATATGAAGTAGTCATTAAGCTGTAACACAATGAATTAAATTTGGATTCTCAAAAGACTGAACTGGTGATTAGTAACTTATTCAATAATTACTACTCATATATTTATGATTATTATCATTAAGATTGATGATAAATATCACAAGTCGTATGTTTAAAAAAACAATGATATCACAAGTCCTGAATTTTAAAGAATTTTATTTTAGAAACCTACTATAACCAACTAGTAGATGATAGTGGTACTATAAATTTATATTATTCACCTCTTAAACAATCCTTAAGCACTGTAGGGAATGCATAAACCACACGACCTTTGAATTCTACAATTGAAACTATTACAGTTTCATACCGAAATCTCTCCTCAACTTAGTGCATATAATACTAAGCTTCAAAATATTTTCTCTTTTATAAGTTGACTAGATTTATGATAACAAAGAATGAGATAGTAACATATTGGCAAAAAACAATGATAATGAAAATATTATTGCGTAATCATCAAAAAGTTAATAGTATGTACGTATATACAAACAGTTAATCACCTTATCTTTATAAGCTTCCAATGGAACTGGTACACCCCAATGCAAATCACGTGTAATACACCTTGGCTTTAAACCATCTCTCAACCATGAATTTGATATAGTACAAGCATTTGAGGTCCATATACAAGAGGGATCGTTAATACGTTGTTCAACGAATGTACTCAACTTGCTTTCAATCTGAAATAGTAATTGGGCAGTTTATTAATATAATTCAGTAAGTGGAGAAGTAAAGAGCTAACGAAGCTATCCCCTAATTCATTACTTATAAGCTGCTTGAATATCTGGGCCACCTGTTCCTGTCATCCGGAGATCTCAACAAATTATCTGTTTTCTTGTTTTTTTTTAATACATAATTATATTTATTGGTCGAATAACCTATTCAGGTGCGTTTGTGAAAAGTTTACGACATTTCGCTGTACAAGTTACAAAAGAGCCCAATCAGAGACATAGTGGTTGCTGATAATATGCATCGAAAAAATATATATTAATCAGATATCGATTCCTGAACTGCTAACATCTAACTGGTGACCACTCAATATTTATTGCAAGGGTCAATCAAGAAATAAGAAAAGGGAACGTATTGAAATACTTTGTGCTGAGAATTCTATATTGTACCGAAAATATGATATTGAATAAAGCCACTAATGATAATAATAATAATAACCTAGAATATGACACATATGTGCACCGGTTCAACTTACACCAAATCCGCACAGCGAGATAATATTATTAACACAAATACTATAGTAGAAATAGTAAGAGTATCAGTGGCAGTAGAAAAGATGAGGTAGAGACAATATGATTTGAGAGGAATGAATTCCACGGGTCAAAAGTATGGGGTAATTTTAAAGAAAAGGGATGAATGAATTTGGGCCACTGAAAACGATTCTGGACCACATCACCTAACGTCTCAAAGATTGATTACGCTAGTCGCACGAACCCCAACCGATTAGCCTGTAAATGAAAGCAACCACCGAATTAGGAAGAGTCGAGTTCGATTTTGAGTCCCAGTGGTTAAAAAATTGAATGCTTTCAGTACTGCTAGAAAACCGCACGCAGAATATTAGGATATATAACATAAATCATTAGAAATTATTAAGTAAGATTAGTGTAAAATATATGAACGCCAGCATCTAAAATAAACGCCTTTTTAAATCAGAAGTAATAATGTTACCTTTGGAAGATCAAGAAACAAATGGCGTGAAGAACGCACCACAGGTCTTTGACAACATATCTTACAACGTGGTTCGATTAATTCGACAGCATTCATGAGACGCCCGCATTTATCACATTGATCACCTCGTGCGTCATCGTATTTACACAAAGGGCAAACTCCTTCAACAAAACGATCTGCAAGAAATCTTTAGAATAAAATTAAAATTATGTTGTTTACTGTATAGTGGAATAATCTAACAGTAATTCAAGCATAATATTTGCAGTTAATTATACCGATCAGAAAAACCTTGTTTGATAGACTTGTTGTTATTGAGAGAAAATATGGAGCGACTGGTTTTCGATCAGTCGCCTATATGTTACCGGATTAGTACTCTAATAAGTGAATTATGTGATTCGACGGTTAACCAGGTCAAAATTCACCTTTAAGCATTTGGTGTTTTACATAACTAACCGCACTTGATAGTATACTAGCTACCGAGTTACAATGCAGTGAAGAGGTAGCTTAATGGTCGTGAAGCACTCAACTCCAATTACCGGGTTGAACAAGTTCAAAAACTCACACCACCTACTTCAGTTTTGGTAAATATATGGTACCAATTATGAGATTCACTGGAATAACGAACTCAAAATAAAATAAAAACAGGAGACTTTGCTTCCCGATATATTAATATAGGAATATATTTAAGCAATGAATTGTTATAATTACTTACGCCTGTTACCCTTTGTGGAGGAGTGTATTGGCTTGGTTTTGTTTGTCAATCACCCTGATAACCGTTATTAAATAAATCCCAACGGTGTATAAATTCAGAACGCAACAAGAAGCGATGACTACAGTTTAGTATTGGATAGCACAGATAATAAAGTTACAAATACATTGTTATAACTTGTGACCGCCAATTAGAGGGCAGTGACTTATCGATCGGACCAAGAACGCGTAAAAGACGTACGAGCAGCCTAGAGTCCTGATTGGTCCTGCTTTCCACCTAGCCTAGCCAGTTGAGTCCAGAACACCAATCCGAGCTTATGCAATATGAATCATTACATTTCAAACATACTGAGTTTATATACCAATCAAACAGACCACAACGTACCAATAATATATGAAACAACATTTGTACACGAATTAGCCAGATGTGGCTGTGAATGAAGGAGGTAGTAATTAATATACTGGATATAATCATAGTTTATAGGTCAAAATAAAGCTTATAATAAGAGGAATATAAATATGCATAGTTTAGCTACTTAATAATTACACAATAGAAATATACGTCTAGTATTGGTCCATCAATAGATCCCAAAGGTTACCATTCATTATTCTTGTCGGGACATAACATACATCGAGTGAATTGGAGCAGAGAGGCTAATGTGCATATGCGTGAGAATACAGAGGCATAATTTATAGTCAAATCGAAGCGAAGGCAATTAATAAGACTCAAGGATATATGTTATACAGACATGACAGTGATCATAATAATACGACGAAATAGACAAACTGTTACTGTTCGAATAACACTGTTTGTTAAATAAGGGCTTGAAAAAATTAACCGCGGACGAAATTGATTGTAGGAGAGTTGTTATAGGAGCATCGGCTGCCCACCAGCATTCTACACGGAGCCCTGTCCTTAGCGATCCTTCTCAGCTGTCTCCAGTTACTGTTTGTTCTTTCGATGTCTGCCTACAATCGCCGATGCAATGTGTTCTCGGACTGCATCTCTTCCTTTTCTCTTAAGGATCCCAAGTTTGCGCTTATCTCATAACGCAATCTGATGGTTTTTGCAATTTACGTCCTATCCACCTCTAAACACTTTTCAAAATCTCCTCTTCATCTAGAATCCGCATTGTCCTATCCCACAGTACGTTGTTGCTGAAAGTATCCTGACAACGGACATTTAGTATTTCTCATAAACAGCTGTTTACAAATACCTGTACCTTTCCGAACAGGGTTGCACAAGTTTTCCAACTTTCAGCTCGGTACAACAAAACTGTTCTGGCGTTCGTATTGAAGATCCTGACCTTGATGTTGGCTGATAGCTGTTTTTAGTTACATATGTTCATCATTCGTATGAATGCTGCCCTTGCTTTGCCAATCCGTGCCTTCACATATGCATCGGATCTTCCTTATTTATCGATGATACTGTTCAGATATGTGAGAGTTTCCACCTCCTCCAGAGCTCCTTCATCAAGTGTGACTTGATTGGTGCTCTCTGTTGTATTTCAGGATTCGATTTTTCCTTGTGCATGTCGAAGCCTACTGATGAAGAGGCTTCTACTACACTGGCTGCTTCACTTGCAGTTGCTGGTGCGTGTGGGGCAGAAGAGCTAAGTCATACGCAAAGTCTTAATGGTCTATTTGCATTCAAGTTATCTATTGTTTATTTATTTATTTATTTCAACACATAAAGATTGGTACAAGAGGGCACCAAATATATATGCGCCACACCGTACTTGTGTGTGTGGGCTGTGATGCTGCCCGGGTGCCCAGACCGAAGCAGGTGGTTCTTTTAGGGGACCACACCCCGAGTCTTTGACCTAATGGTCTAACCCACAAGGCAGTGGAGCATCGTGAGGAGATGCATTCCCATGGTAGCCGGTGACCAACGATTGGTTCATACGCCATTTGTTCCGGCAGGATACTGGAGCCTATGTGCACCATTGGTTTGAGATCCGGTTAAAGCGCCGGACATTCGCTTTTCGTCCTCTCATTTTCGTAAACAACACCCCCACCACGAGAAGGCAGTGAGTAGGACTTCCCTGGCAGAGGATGTATACGCGTGGCCGTGTGAGAGCATTTCGAGAGGGAGGGCGGGACCACCCCACTCTCGGCCATACCAGGGCATTTGGGGGCTTCCACTGAGATGTGTAGATCTTTCTGATCCAATCAACCATCAGAAGAGAGAAAAAAGCTGAAAGGAAACAGCCTTTTCCTGAAAACCGGTCTTCACCTGAAATGCATCTTTCAGCTGTCCGCCATGCCCGACTTTGCGCTGTAGTCTGTTGTATGAACTCTATGTTGACGACCCTTTCAAGTACACCATTTTGTCGAATAAGATTCTATGGGGTTCTCCTATCCACACTGTCAGACGCTTTCTCATAGTCGATGAAGCTGATATACAGCGACGAATTCCGTTCAATTAATTGCTCAGCAATGATCTGTAGCGCCTCTGTTCTAGAATCTCAGTGATTAGCTTGCATTCTTTGTCTTTGACTGGTCGCTCTGGTTCACCATATTTCCCTGCATGTTTCTTCATTGTATCATATAATTATCTCACATTCCCTTCTTTTGCATCTCTTTCCGCTGTCATTGCTAGGTCTTCAACATATTTTTGCTGGTTGGCTCTAATTCTCTTCTTCACTTGCTTGTTTGCTTTTGTGTATTCGGTCTGTACTCTTGTTCGACTGTTGTTAGTTGCTGTATTCTTGTTCTTCCTTTCTTAAATCCATCCAGGGTTTCCATTGAGATCTATTTCTTATAATGATGCTTCTTGCGTCCAAGAACTTCCTGACACTTTGAAGTTAATGTTTCTTTGATCCCTTTCAAGTTGTCCTCCGTAGCAGTTTCTTCGTTGAGTATATCTTATAAGTCTTGGAACTTGTTGTTAAGAGTTATCTTGAATTGGTTGACTTTATCATTATGTCGAAGGAAGGCTGTATTGTACCTTTGTAATGCTGTTCGTTCAGTTGTCCAATCCTTCTTTAGCTTTAGTCTCACCTTGGTAACCACCAGTTAGTGGTGACCTGAAGCTATGTCTGCTCCTCTCTTTGTTCTTACGTCTTCCGTGGATTTTCCGAACTTTTTAGTGATGCAAATGTGATCGATCTGATTCTCTATGGTGTGATCCGGTGAGACCCATGTAGCTTTATGTATGCGTTTACGGGGGAATATAGTACCACCCATAACTTTTTGTTGAATGTACACAAATTTGCAGATCCCCCAACATTCTTGTTCCTTTCTCCCAGTCAGTTCATGTCGTCCTATGATATCTTCATACCCGTGTTGTCTCCTATAAGAATGGTCAGGTCCCTCTCCGGGCACTTCTCTACGATCAACGCAGCTTCTCATAACATTGATCCTCATCGTCTTCGTTGCTAGGCGTAGGCGTATAACACTAGATAACATTCATTGTAATCCCCATTTGCTTTGTTTTGAAGAATTCTTTAGTGATTCTGGATCCATGAGATTCCCATCCTATAAGTGATTTACGTGATTCTTTGGACAGCGTCAGTGCAACTACCTAAGTGTACAGAGCACTTTATTCTTCGTGACTAGAGTACAACAGCATCTCTCCCGAATCCATCCTTTTCTGTCCAGTTTGGGTCCAATGGGTTCCAGTTATTCCTAGAACCTTCAAATGGTATCTCATTTCTGCAGCTATTTGATTGGTACCCCTGGCCTTCCACATTGTCCGGACACTCCAAGTACCTATGTAATTGTTGCTCTGGTTATAAGAAGGAGGATCGGTCTCGTGACTTCCTCAGAATATCGAAATTCAACATGAGGCGTCATGATTCTTCTATATGAAGACCCTTCAACTAGCAGGATTGAATTTACATGGTTTAAAGTGTTCTTATTTGTGGGAAATTTTTGGCAAGGTTGTTTTCTACGGGATGAGGTTGCTGATCCCATGCCTAACCCTCCTTCTTTACCCAGGGCTTGGGACCAGCAGTAACCCTAGAATAGCTACAGGCAAGTTTTAAGTAAATATCAATTAACTTTGATTAAAAGTCATATTTAATGTGATAAACTCAGAAACCACAGTCAACTCTTAGCACAGACAAGCTCAAAATGACCACTGGTAAGACAGATACAAAATGCATGAACTAATGAGAAAAGTTAAGAAATGGAATACAACATGAAAACTATACGATAACAAACCGACTACTTATGAGTAGTACAGTTACAAAACACACATATATGTGGCTCTCATACAGTGTTGCAGGAGTACAAAAAAATAGTTGATTGATTACTAAGTAATCGGCTTGGAAACAGTTGAATTAGGTAGACAGGTGAATGACTGGTAGTCAGAATCACACTACTGGAAATAGTCCCCGTTATCAAGGTGATTGCAGCATAAATATAAACACACTTTTCTATATTATAAATTCAAACCAATGTTATCGACAGATTTTGAAGATTAGTGGGAGATTAACGATCTGTTATATCCTGGTGAAGATTACATTACGAGTGACGTCTGAGAACTATTAGTGGACTAATATTATTTATATATTCTCATGGTATAAATATTCAGTAACTAGATTATGTATATCTATATTCCCCTTGTTATAAGCTTCATTTTGATCTATAATTTATTATTGTACGATTTACTGTTCTTAAGCTATGTTCAGTTTATTGACTACTGCCTCCCACGTTCACAGCTACTTTTTGGCTTTATTGTGTATGAATATTATTTCCTATATTATGGTGCGTTGCGGTCTGTTTGTTTGATATATAAACCCAGTATGTCTGAAATATATGATTCGCATAGTGGGAGCTGGTATTGGTGTTCTGGACTCAAGTGGACGGGCTAGATGGACATAGGACCAATAAGGACTCTAGGCTGCTCATACCGGTCGGACGTCATTGACTTCGCATAGTGCTAAGATTGTATAAGTCATATTTTGATTGGTGGATAAATCGTGATAACTAGCCGGACAAAGTCATAACACGATCCATACTCTGATAGCTACAAAACAATGAGGTAAATGATTAACTGGTTCTCATCTTTGGCAGTTCCTCGGTTAGTGTCAATAAAACGGTGGTATTCAACACTTTTCGGAATTTGTCTTGAGTTACATCTATTGTTAACAACAGTTAAATGTTAGTGTTTAAGTAAGTTTGTACTGACAGGTCGCTTTTTCAGGAAGCTTACATGATGCAACTAAAACAAGTTATTATGACTCAACCGAAAAATTTTGCAGTTTAAGCTTAAGAATAACAACAATGTAACCTTTAGTTGAGAAAAATAAACTAGAACAGTTCACCACTAAGACTGTTTAGTTTTTGGAGATGAATGGATTCTGTTGCTTAATCTGCAATATTTATACTACTTCAGGTGATCCAATAGTATGGTGCACCTTTATTTCCAAGCCAAACCCATAGTATGGGGATAACTTGAGTTTCCTGTGCTAATGTGGTATGGCAACTCGAACTGATGTACGTACGTACGAAGTTTTACGTTGTTATTGACTGACTGAACTTGAGTTTCCAGTTCAAAATAACCAGTAGATTTATAACGTGACCCGATGGTTGAGTTATTTAAATTGTTCATTACTCGATTTATTGTCTATAACAACTACTTTCTGAAATATAATAGAAGATGTAAACCTAGAATAAAAATCTTACTTTGGGCATTTTTCGCAATATAACTGTTCAACAGAATCTTCAGTGATAAAACCCTTATCCCACAGGCGTTTAAACAACTCCTGAACTATTCTGGAAAAAAAAAGTATAATACCATTAGATACAGGTATTTTACGCTGAAATAAAAATAACATGAAGAGATTAAATATAAGGCGAACTGTGACTTATAATAAGTGTGAAAACCTGGAAAGAAACACAGGAGAGCTACTATCGGTAGTCAGATCAGAATAATTTCAGTACTGAACCATAGGCTCATTTATTTAAGATCGAGTTTTTTGGTCACATTTAATATCCACTATTTTTATTCACTAGGTCGACGAGGACTATGGTGTGGTCATGAATAATTATATATTTCCCCATTATTCACCAGCATTGAGGATGGATTGTCCCGAAAAATTGGTCACTGCAGTTAATCCATTTTATAACATGGCACTTATTTAGTCTAGTCTACTTATTTGGACATGAAATTCGACTGACTTAGTGACTGGACACTTAAGTGTCTAGCGTTTTGTAAGAATTTATCGTCTACTTCATTTAAATTCCAATGTAAGTAAGCAGAAGATACAAAACGGGCATCAGTGTATCCCAATCTTCCCGAGTTCTTACAATACCATTTAATTAGGAAGCGCGAATTGATAACTACACTTAAAGTACATTTTCTGTTTCCAAAATCAATGTTAACCTTCTCCTGTATAACCTCAAGAAATATATGAAGAGTGAACCACGCCGTACCACCACAATACTCAGGTCTCGATCAAATGTGTATTCACACTTAGGTCCTTGTGTGGGTTTGAAAAGCACAATCTGCATCCCTAGAAATGGATTCGGGAAGTTTCTTTAGTGATGTCTGTTCCAAGTATTGATACAAAGCCAGAACGTTCGAAGCACTGACATTGCAGGAGTCGAGTTCATTTCAGAGATTTTAAACAATCAAGACTGGCTACATATTCTGGGAAAACTAAGATTAGTTTGGAACGACTGGAACTAATAACAGTAAGAAATTGAGGAGACAGTTGGAAAGGTGATTGAAGGTAAATGAAATGAACAAAAATTTTGCAGTATTTTAAAAACCGACCTAATAAAGTAATTTTACGCTTAAACTGGTATAACGAAGAGTGTAAATCTCATTGAAGTCTTGTTTATGAAGGTTTAAACATTATTCAAAATAGCAGACACAAGAGTAGAGAACTGGTCGTCCGTCAGAACTAAATATTTTAGTTCGTCAAGATAATAATCAGAGCAATCCTTTCAACAATAAAAACTAATATACCCCAGTAATTAAATTTATTCATCCAAACGCGTAACAAAGTTCAACTGTAATTACGATCCGTTTAAATATAACTAACTCCATTTGAAAAACCATTTGGACAACTTACTCGGTATGTTGATCAGTAGTAGTTCGTCCAAAATAATCGAATTCAATTTGAAACCACTTGTATATATCACAATGCAACTTATGAAACTTATCACAGATCTGACGAGGAGTCATATTCTCTGAGACTGCTTTTGCTTCAGTCGCAGTTCCATATTCATCAGTTCCACAAATAGATAACACATTATATCCAGCCAAATCACAGTACAAAGCGAATACACTTGCACTTAAGGTCGATCCAATCATGTTGCCCAGATGAGGTACATTGTTTACATACGGCAATGCTGATGTAATCATAATATTTCTAATTCCGGTTTGTTTAGGTTGTGGCTTTCTGAAATAAAAAAATGAATCACAAAACTATGACTACCATTTGGCTGAAACAGTGTGAAGCTCAGCAATCCACTCTATATACTCCATTTATCACATTTTGTAACAATGTGAGGAGAAGAAAACCGATAAGAGAAAATTATAAGTGAGGACGGCTAAAATGTGTGGGATTGAACTACTTATATCGCCCTAAGCTTCATATGTAAACTCAGCGTTCGTTACTCTATGGTCTGAAGACAAATGAGAGATGTTACAAATAAACCAATATATTTTGTAATTTTTTAACTGTGACATTAGAAATCAAACTGTAACAAATTAGACTACTGTAATTCTTGTATTTATGACCTTACAACAAACGAAAATGTACAAGTGTATACAATTTTAGTTGCGAAATCGGAATTGATGGTAATTTTAGTCTCACTAACAACAAATTACGATATTTAATATGGCATTTTTATCGAACCAAACAAGAACTGAACAGAAACGATGAATGTGACGACCATGTAATGGAATTCTTTTTATCACTATTAGATATAAATGGTAAGTGGTTTTTTACTGAAACATCATTACCAATTGAGCTTTTCTTTGCAACATCATTTTCTTGGAAGCTTTTCATCTCCTAAAAAAATCTATTATTATTGTTGACTAAATGGTCACTATGAAGTTCTGTATGATACTTATTCTTTTATCATGAGATCGACATTTGGAAGATAAAATAGGATGTCTTGAAATATATATATATATATATATATATATATATATATATATATATATATATTGCGTATATTTTTCGAGGTCAAATCATGAACTTAGGAGTTTCAAGTGAAAAAAGCAGTAAGAACTTTAGTGAAACCAAAGTAAGTGATCATTAAACAGTACCACTACAAATGAATGAAAAGTGTAAAAGTTACAGTTAAATTGAAACTGTCTTGCCGAACTTACTTTGGTGTTTCATATACGGGTTTGGTAAATACGCTATAATCCAGGAAAATATCACCAGCTCTTCTCTGATCTTCATCTGTAATGTGTATGGATGACGGTTCTGTTATTTCTTCCGTTGAATCAATCATTTTCCAACACCAAGAGTTTATATTTGACTTCAATTATCAACACCCGATGGTCAATTAGAGCAAAACTCTACAGAAGAATTTAGGTAGCAACTGAAAATAGTTGCGATTATATGCTAAAAACGAGATTCAACAGTAAACATCAGAGTTAGGTAACTTGGAATTTTGAAATCTCTGATTATAGAGATAAGGATTGTTTAGTTTGATTACTACGTCGTCATGAACGCCAAGCCGTTTTTACGAGTTCACAATGTGATTAAATCTTGGAGTGACCTATGTTAGTCATAGCGCGATTATGCCAGTCAATGAAGTTATAGATCATTATGACCAACCGATGTACCTTTTATTGTCATGGGACACGGAGTGTCCACCTAGTGGAGTTGGAAAAACTTGATTCCAAACAAAAAGTGCACATGGGCTCCAGGATCCTGAGGAAACAAAAGGCGTATGAGCCTACCGTTGGTCACCAGCTACCATGGGACTGCATCTCCTGACGCTGCTTCACTGCCTTGTGGATTAGACATCTTCGTTAAAGGCCCCAGGTAGAGCTCCCTAAGGAAACCACTTGCTTCGGTTCGGGCGCCCCGGCAGTATCACAGCCCTCACACAAATTACTGATAACTGTGTGGCACATGCATTTAGTGCCCTCTCGCACCAATGTTTGTGTTCAAATGAATCAATAAATATGGTCAATCATGTAAACTGGATGACGTACAAAGTAATCAACTTGACATAAGATAATGGTAAAGTGGTCTCATTAATCGACTAACGAAAATACAGTGGTCAGAACACCATACCAGTAAACAACAACTTTGTAGACTCATGTCACATACCGGTTTGGTGCAGGTCGATAAAAGCCGAATGAGCTTTCTGCGTGTCTATATAGATATTTCAACGCCTACCAAGATATAAGGTTTGGTGAGATTTGCAGTAGAAATGAAGCGATCAAAAAGCCAGGTTGGTTCACTTCCTATGAAAAGAGTAAGGATTGATGACATTGGTATTGCTAAGTATACGTGATGCTCATATAAAAAGGATAGTGCAAACGACCACAAAAGGCTATATCGTAATTGAAATTGCATAACTCAGTTACAACACCTGATAAGAAGTAGTAGATTTTGAAACACATAGCACTTCGATTCGAGATGTTTGCTATCATATAATTTTAATCACTTATAAAGGTTTAACATTATCCCGTTATTATTAGGGGTGGAACTGATTAATTTACATTGGTACTGTGAGCGAGTTATTTTGGCATTGGTTTTGGCTACAGTCAGCAACAGCAACAACGGGATAGCACAAACACTTATTAATAACTTCATAAGATGTGAGAAAATAGTGGCTTCCTGGACTTAGTAACTTAGTGAAAAACGCAATAACGTTTGAAGTGACAGATACAGTGTGAAAATCAACACTGATGCTAACACAACAAGCTGACGAGGACAAGCAAAACATTATGGTCTGAATTCCATCGCTATATACAACCTATAAATAATAAAAATGATTCCTACTGTATATACTCGTAAGAAATCAAATGCTATCATCAGTAGTGAATTGATGATCATAGCACATTATCGACTAGAAACTGTTAAACGATGAAAGAGATCTTCGATATGTAGGACGCTTAGAATAAAAACATGACTTCTTCGTCTACAACTAGGGAACAGAAGCAGGTCCCTCAAAGATTTTAGTTTGATGTAACGAGGTACAACAATCCACGAGTCACATTTTCAAATCTTGAGAACAGCAAAGTGCTGGCGCCAGGCCTATCGGCCTTACTATGCAAGGGAACACGTGACACAATTAACTACATAATTTCAAGTTGACAATAATATTCATACTCTTCTAGAACATCTGTTGAGGAACGTCATAAATTCACCAACGTGTTGGTAGTATTTGTACCGTAACATTATAATACTGAGAGCCATTCGCAGCTATTTTAGAGACGAGTCCAAGCCAAATGAAGTATCTTGAGATAGATATTTCTTAGGTTGACGACTTCAGTGGGAACGATAGGTAGTTAGTAACGAAAACTCTTCCCCCTCTAGAATTAAGGATATAGGGGGAATATCTTCATCTAGTGAAATCATTACCGCTACATCAGCTCTAATGACAGCAAAAGAAAAACCTTCAGCCGCTTTAAAGCTACATTAAGAAACCGCTAAAAATAGACTGGTTTCGGCGGGTCCACCACTTAGCGAACAGAGAAATAGCAATGACTCGTAAGTACTGAAATACAACAGATAATAGATAATCAGAGACAGAAACTGAGATGTGTTATTTATATCTAAGAAACACTGCCTCCTTGAAGACAGTAAGGGTAGCGAGTGTAATGTCACCATAGTTACAGCACAACTGTGCAGTCTGTTGACGTTATGTACATGCCCTGACGCCATTAATTGAGGCAGGCAATATGTGACTTTTCGATTGATGAATCACTCTGTGAGACGTGATGTACATAGGGAACACTATGTGAACAACTTGCATTACTGACGCGTATCCTATTTTTTCCAAGATAAATTATATCAATAAGAAAGATAAATCATCTTTTTTTTGTATAAATAGCATTCGATTATACAGATAAGACACTGCAATTAATAGCCTGAGTCCCAAAAACGACAAGTCATATACAATTTCCCAAAACTGCTTAATGCTTACCTCAAACGGTTTGCCCGTCCCACTTTTTCACGTGTCGAACTGTTCAAAACCCCGTCAAGGTTATAATAATATGGTCCAAGATACACACTCCTTGTACTCTATAGTCATAAAACACACAAATGGCAAACTCTGCATCCTTCGTTCCTGTTTTATTTTAGCTACGACTTCTTTCTGTACAGTACCTTCGGAGTAGAAATAGTATGTTGAATTATTTAGACTGTAGCAGCAAACAAATCTTCAAAACAAATAATTCTGTGAGTCTTCAAATTAAAACATTCCAGCTGAAGACGCATAGTCAAGAATCTGCACCAAACCACTACTGGTTACGCTGAACTACGCATCCCTCAGCTTAGTTCATATACATGTCGACTTAGCGACCATCTTCCAAATATATTTTCGAACCCCTTCACTCTTTAGTTTTAATCTGGCTGGCTTTAGGATCCTCAGTTTTAGAGGTGTTGCGGACAATAAAGCTTTCAAGCACTGAGTTTCCATGGCATCTTCAGTGGTGAGCCCGGCGTGATCTTGTACAACAAACGAGAAACTGTGTTTGTTTCTCAACGCACATTGTGTGTATATTTTCTCACATCATAACGTCATTTTTGTCCTCAGATTTTTCGGTATATCTACAAATCTTGATTTTATTGTGCCAGAATACACCTGAGCTGATCAGTATCATAGCCTGGTATAGAGAGGACTGGTTCTACTATTCGGAATCTGACTTCCGTGAATACGAGGTGATAGACCTACGTAAGTAGTAGAGGCACTACCGCGCTGGCTCAACAGGTATGTCACACCTAGTATGTTTACCAGTGAATTTTCTGAACATTACGGTGCTGTTAAGAGTCATCGTAGAGACTTAACCGATCGACAAGGTTAGACCGGCCATTCAACTACATAGAAATGCAACACTTCTCGGCAACACAAATGTTACTACGTATGAGATAGGTCATTGGTCAACAAACTATAACGGAGGTCCTTCTTAGACACCCTTTTCTATCTAATCTTCCCCAACAATTGCAAGCGGTTCTCGTTTCACCCCAAAATAATGCTGTGAATGAACTAGCCTAATCTGACGATCAAATTATGAAGATCAATAGAACCCAAGGGTTATTATACCAACGAATGCCTAAGTGAACACAAAGCGAAATTAAAGGACTCTGTAATACTATTATTCGTTCTCTTAACATCCAGTATGATCTAAGACAATCCAAAACTCCCCTAAAGAAGCTCATTACGCAAAAAATGATTCTCAAACCGCTAGAAACATATAACCTTAATTATTGCCCGAACAACAGCAACTATGGTAGGTCTTACTAAGATTTCAGAAAACCCTGCAATTCCCAGAACATCAGACCTTTCAGTACAAAGACCTTTCGAGAACCCCCTGACACGCGTTAGCAGAAACCGTAGCCGGCGGATATTCATCAATTATGTTGTGAAGAGGTTCTTTATCTCATCGACACTTGAGCACACGTTGCCAAAGTTCCCACGAATACTAGTGATCGTTCACAAGATCTGGTCTTCAATGACCAGGCAGCAAACGGAAAACCGAGTGCCACCTATAGTAAAAGATACGTTCACCTTAACGAGTGTTTATTCAAACCCATCCACTTGGATTTCTATTTGTGTGGCAATGCTGTGACCTACTTGCCAACCTAAGCAAACGAAGGTTAGTAGACAGAAGTACTAAATTGTCTGTCTGTAGGTTGGATGTCATCCCCGGTCACGATTAAACATATAATCAATCCATAGTTCAACCAATATTCGGCAAGTATTCTGGATTGTACAATACACGACTGCATTTACCGTGTGTGACTAACAGTGCTAAATACGGGAGAGATGCTGCTGTACTCCGGTCACAAACAGGAAAATGCTCTACGCATTCAGAAAGTTGCTCTAATGCTGTCCAAAGTAGTACGAAATGCACTTGTAGGATGGAAATCTCACGGATCCAGAATCATAAAAGGGTCATTCAAAACCTGCATGTGCAGGTACACACCGTTTTTACAGGCATGATCTATAAATTACAACATTTGTTGGTTCGCAAAATGCTTCCCAACTCATTAAGTTTATAGTTGTTATAAAGTGAAATCGTAGAGCGCTTGCTGTAAACTATGACCTTGAGGAGGATGAATATTATCCAATGTTATGCACCCACCAATGATAGCAACGACGACATTAAAGATCAGTTCTACGAGCGGCTGCAGTCAATCATCGCGAAGCGCCCAAGAAAAGACCTTGCCATTCTGATGGGAGATCTAAACGCCAAAGTCGGAATAGACAACACCGGATATGAAGATATCATGGGACGACATGGACTGATTGGGAGAGAGAAACGAAAATAGGGAAAGATTTGCAAATCTATGTGCATTCAACAAATTGGTCATATGTGGCACAATATTTCCACATAAACGTATACACAGCTACATGGATCTCACCGGACCACACTACAGAGAACCAGATAGATCATATTTGCCTCAATAAAAAATTCCGAAGGACAGTGGAAGATGTGAAAACCAGGAGAGGTGCTGACGTAGCTTCAGATCACCACCTAGTTGTAGCCAATTTAAAACTGAAGCTGAAAAAGAACTGGACAAGTGGACAAACAGCACTACAAAGGTTCAATACAGCCTTCCTTCGAGATACTGACAAACTCAATGAATTCAAGATAGCTCTCAACAACAGGTTCCAAGCCTTACAAGATCTACTGAAAGAAGAAGAAACTAGTATGGAGGACAACTGGAAAGGCATCAAGGAAGCATTAACTTCAACGTGTCAAGAGGTTCTGGGCCTAAAGAAACACCATCATAAGGAATGGATCTCTATACAAACTCTGGACAAGATCAAAGAAAGGAAGAACAAGAAGACAGCAATTAACAACAGCCGAACACGAGCAGAGAAAGTCCAATCACAACCTGAGTGCATAGAAGCAAACAAGCAAAGGAAGAAGAGCATTAGAGCCGACAAGCAGAAATACGTGGAAGAACTAGCAACGACGGCAGAAAAAGCTGCAAGAGAAGGAAATATGAAACAGCTGTACGATACAACGAAGAAACTAGCAGGGAAATACAGTAAACCAGAGAGACCGGTCGAAGACAAAGAAGGCAAGCCAATCACCGAAATTCAACAACAGCGGAACAGATGGGTAGAATACTTCGAGGAACTCCTGAATAGGCCGGCTCCAATGAATCCACCGGACATCGAAGCAGCACACACAGATCTTCCTATAGATGTCAATCCACCAACGACGGAAGAAATGGGAATGGCCGTCAGACAAATCAAGAACGGGAAAGCAGCGGGACCCGACAACATACCAGCTGAAGCACTGAAATCAGACGTTGAAGTAACCACAAGCATGCTTTACCTTCTATTCAAAAAGATTTGGGAGGAGGAACAAGTGCCGATGGACTGGAAAGAAGGACACCTCGTCAAGATTCCAAAGAAAGGAGATCTGAGCAAATGTGAAAACTACAGAGGCATTACACTACTGTCAATACCAGGGAAAGTCTTCAAAAGAGTTTTGCTGAACCGATTGGAAGATGCAGTAGACGCCCAACTTCGAGATCAACAAGCTGGATTCCGTAAGGATCGGTCGTACACAGACCAAATTGCAACACTACGGATCATCGTCGAACAATCAGTTGAGTGGAACTCATCACTATACATCAACTTCATTGATTATGAAAAGGCATTCGACAGTGTAGATAGGAGGACATTATGGAAACTTCTTCGACACTACGGAGTTCCTGAGAAGATTGTCAACATTATCCGGAACTCATACGACGGACTACAGTGCAAAGTAGTGCATGGAGGACAGCTGACAGATGCATTCCAAGTAAGGACTGGAGTCAGACAAGGTTGCTTACACTTTCCATTCCTCTTCCTTCTGGTGGTCGACTGGATTATGAAGACCTCGACATCTGAAGGAAAACGCGGAATACAATGGACAGCTCAAAATCAATTAGACGATTTGGACTTCGCAGATGACCTAGCCCTCCTATCACGTACACACGAACAGATGCAGATGAAGACAGCCAGTGTAGCAGCAGTCTCTGCATCAGTAGGCCTCAACATACACAAAGGGAAAACCAAGGTCCTCAAATTCAAGGCGGAGAACAGCAATCCAATCACTCTTGATGGCGAAACTCTGGAAGATGTAGAGTCCTTCACATACCTAGGAAGCATCATCGATGAACAAGGAGGTTCAGATGCAGACGTAAAGGCGAGGATCGGCAAAGCAAGGGTCGCATTCCTACAATTGAAGAACATGTAGCGTGGCGTCGGGTTGAGGTTAACTATGAACACCGCTACAAAGAAGCACGTGCCAGATAAATCAGAAGGCGAGGGTTGGACGTAACCAAATAGATCCATAAAATCTCCGAGAAGCCAAATATCAGAAGGCAGTTAATGGACCAAGTCGAGGTGTATATTTGCTGGCGATCTCGTGGCATCGAAAGGATACCGAGATCGTGCCAGGATACAACCTTGGTTACAGAAGGTAACCGAATTCGCGCGAAGTTACAATCGAAGTGTAAGTAAAAGAATGGAAGCACAAAATAGCTGTCATTAGCACAGTCAAACAAAAGCACATTAAAACAAACACTGGTACAGTTGGTTATAATAATAATTGTTTTTATTAAACCAGTCGTGTTCTCGTGATAAATGTGAGTCACTACAGGAGCCCCCCGCTAGAAAGGGTTTACACTTTCGATAAATAGCGGTTTGAATCGTGGGACTGATCGGCTGACGAGCGATTGTAGGACGGAAGAATTGGCGAACAGGAAAGCGATCGTTGATCGTCGAGTTGCCAACGAAGGTCGTTTTCGGAGAACGGTACCAGGAGCGATGTGCTGTATTTGTTGCTTGAGTTGGCATGCTACACGAGAGTGGTTTGTATCCAGAATCTGAAGAGGGCGTTCGTAGGGAATGCGGACCAGAAACGCTGCAGACGAAGGACGAAACCACGTTGAGCCAAAAGACCAGAAGCGACCATGTTCGAGACCAAGCGTATGCCAAGCATTCGAAACCAAAATATCGACTGAGTGCGTTGACAAGAGTATGGGTGGCCAGTCCAGCTTTCGCCAAAGTTGACTGAAGTCGACGGAACCAAACGGAGATGGTCGAAGGCGTGGGCTCAGGAAACAAAAAGAAAATC